AAGAACGAACAAGTAATCAGCCCTGGGCAACTATGGAGCGAGCAAGTGGCAGGAAGGAGGTTAGGCGGGACTACAGGGTGCAGTGGAAGCAGGAGTTTTTGTGGTTGAGGAGGGAGGTTGGAAAAATGTTCTGCGACTGGCATTTAATGAAAATAAATGCTTTTGAATGTTTAACTATTATCATTAGAAAAATAAAGTGATGGGTAAAACTAGATTTTTTGACACTGTCAGTCAAACGACAATGAAAAAGTCTAGCAACCTCTGATTGACTGGTTTGGTTTGAAACCAATTGTATCTCTGTTTTTTCAAATCTGAAATAGCTTGCTACTCCTCACAAGGCTCACATGCTACACTATAAGGTACTAACGAGATCATGTGCATGGCACGTACCTGATGCAATGGTCCACTCCTCCCTACACTAAACGAGACTTGAGGGCGGAGTCGAAACTGATGCACTGGAGTGAAACCTTTTGTCATTAAGGCCCTTTAGTAGAAAGAGAGGGAGGCACAAGGAAAACAAACAAGAATGCAAACCAAAATTATCGCGCTCCTTTCATTTTTCATGCGATAAATTTTATTCATGCGATTAATTGATTTATTGCTTATCGCGACAGGCCTAACCACACTGCCTAGTGGTACTATGGAGAAGTAAATCCAGGAAACCCTTTATTGCTGGGACGACTCCCTGTTTGTCCTGGAATGACCGGCCTTTGAATGGCTCTATTGAACACCAGATCAAAAGCCTTAAGACTTTTATTTTAAATTACTTTTTTAGCTCATTGGAGCTGAATTTTTTATTTATGACAGAGACTTGGCTTGATGAGTCCGCTAGTTTTTCCAAAACTTCTTTCCCGTCTGTTCCTTTTTAGCTGACCTCAGTCCATGAGTTAAGATCCCCCTAAATTTGTGAAAGATTTTAGTAATGAATTTGCTGATTTACTGGTGAATCTTAGATTTTAAATATTGGTAATTTTAGTATAAATGTGAATGGTGTGTCTAGACCTCTAGAAAAATATTTTCTTGCTCTGATTGACTTTTATTTTCACTCATTGTGTCAAAGTGATATGCAAGTAGAGGGGGTAGGGAAGTGTTATTCAAATCACTGGTGGTATTGTTATTTAGACAACTGCATTAAATTAAACCTGGATTCCCTCCTTTTTTAATCTCAGTTAGTTCACATCAGAATTTGAAAGTATTTTTGACTGTATTGTATTTGCTTTTCACGAATAGACCTCTATGCAACATTTTTATACAGTCGACTTCAGCACACTGTAGCTTTTGATGAGGAGGGGAGATATAAGAAAATAGTCAGCATACTTGAATATTCTGCTAACAAAACAAAACTGTAAGCAGGATTTACAGTAGCTCACCGTCACATACGTAGCTTTAGAATGCTGTGTCGTTCACTGACCTTTGTGTTCTTGCAGGATTTTCACCTACTCACCTAGCCTAAATGGTGCTTCTGTAATCCTGCATTTGACCATTTTATTCTGAAAGTCAGTGCAAAGCCTGGCCCAGCGTATATTATTTAGTATAAGTGCTACATATCCCACAAACAAGCTCTGGGAGAGGTGGCAAAGTCACTGTTTCTGACTCAAATGTCCAGTCAGCAGCAGACTCTGTCACCTAAAGTGCTGATTTGTGTCAGTGTTAAGTGTCAAAGGGTGGAGCCTTAATTTAGCTTTTTTTCATGCAAGATATTCTAGTTTTGGTCTCTTTGAGAAATCAGAAATTGGTCTAATGCAAACATACGATTGAGGATAAATGTGAATTGCACACTGGATTTCTGACCATACTGCACACATCATTTCTTTTCCTTCAAATGACCCAATTCAGGGCTTTTCCCTAGAGTCTAAACACAAACATCCCTCACTCTATGTGTCATCCTGTGATGTGCTAAAGGTTAAACATCAGAGATCTGGCTTTAGATTGTCTTCTTTACACAAGTAGCTGTTATGGTTAATGTTGGAATTGACACAAATAATTATATTTTTGACTTCATCAGTTATGCTCTCCTTGCAAAAAGATATGGAGATGCCACGTGGCATTTCAACAGCCCTGCTTCCAAAAACACATACATACAGTAGTCTGCACCATGCTCTGTCAGCACATGTATTAAAGATGCTGTTTCTATATTCATCTTGTGACAGGTTATCAATGTGACAGATAGACAGTTGAACTGGGAAAAAGTACAGGCTTGGAAGAAGAACCTTTGGACCAGGCCTGAGGCTTTTACTTATGCTTTTTTCGAGTCTAAGTTTTCCTCTGGGACAGCTTTCGGTTTTTAATATTTATCTCGACACAACATCCAGATTCTTTTAGAATATATCCTTTTTTTTTCTTCTGTGAAGGACTTGGAACCAGTGGGAATGTTTACTTTTGGCTGAGGGGCGCAGAATCTGTTGCTGTATTTTTCATGGCCTATTGGACATTAAGAGGCAATTTTTTATGTGTCAGTACAGTATTAGGCTTTGCACTCCATACCCAGAGGCTTTCAGACTTCACGTTAACAGCTTTCAGTGGTCCAGGAAGTCATTTGTAACAAAACATGCCTAATGTTTACAGAAATGTTATTAATTAGTTACATTAGTGTGAAAATCGTTCCTTAACTATGAAACTTCACACATTTTCTGTTAATTTTCACACTATCAATTCTCTCTTTCAAATATAGAAGAACATGTTGGTCCACTTTGTCGCAGTCAGCCACAGAGAAAAAAAACCCATTTGTTTTATGCACCATGTAAACAAAAATCTGTTTTTTTTCCTATCTGAGAGTGATACTTGTAAATGAAGTCTAGGCATCATGTTTTGGACTCTAGAAGAAAGAAGGCTGGTGTCAAACTAAATATCTCCAGAGGTTTTCATCAGAAATGTTATTGATTTATTTTTGTTTCTAAACATATAAGGACGTTTAAAGCTAGTAGTAAACTTGTAAAATCAAAGAAAGGTGCTGTCAATGAAGAATCTTTGCATATCAGGACAGAATGAAACGTGTTGTGAGCACTTTTCTTTGTTAATATAGTTCTGTAATGCTGCATTTTATTTGGATTTTCCGGGTTCCTAGTCAGAAATACATTGAGACTGAACTCTGAAGTAGAATTTTTAACTTCTAGAAATTAAAGTCTGCTTGCATGTTCGTGTTCAAGAGCTAATACGGGTTCTGCAAATATGAAACTTAGTAAAAGTTGAATGTATGTATTGTGTGCATGTATGTATTAGCATTTCTGATTATTTTGATCCTATCAAATTAGGTACATACATAAAACTTGTTAGTGTCTATTTTTTTAGCTCCGCATTATTTTTGTACTTTGTGGTTATCAAATTTGAGTTGCCTAGCTTAAGTGTTTATGATAATTGCTGTGAGATGGTGGGATTCCTTTCACTCTGTACCATACAATACCATCTTTATTAATAATACACTTTAAAATAAGCCAAGTTCCACACTGTGCATATACAAATGATATAAACAATTTAAAAAGAAAATTAGACAAGTTAAAGACAGACAGAACTCAGCTTGCAGAGACGTACCTTTCAAATATCAGGGTTATTATGTACTTGAAGGGATAGATGGTAATCCTATATGGAAACTATGTAATCACCTGATCTAATTTCTGGGGCAAACTGAACTGAGCATAACGTTTTATTTTGTAGATTTTGTGGCATTTATTTGATAGTCCCAATCAGTTTTACATTCATGCCTGACTAGTCACTCATTCAATCACTTGACTGAAAATTAGCATATTTTGACATTTTAGAATTCTTGTGTAAGAGATTAGTTCTCGTTACCTCTGATATTTTTAGTACATGAACGCTTTGTTTTTCTTTTTGATATTTGATGCCATATTACTGACTCTCCAAGGTCTTGCAATAACGTAAACTTTTAAAATGACAGTATTTGGACTGTTGGGTGATTCTTAATAATCAACATTTTACTACAGTTGGAAGAGTTGTAGACATTTTACTCATAGTGTCAAGTGTTTCCCAGTTGTAATCCTCGTGGAAGATTCCCTTTAAGGTTTTGATAGGTCTATGCTCCGATACCTGACACCTGATTGAAATTAATTAATATCCTCAAAATCTGCAGAAGTGTCATTATCCTCCATCAATTTGAATCGGGTGTATTGAACTACAGAAACATTTAAAACCAGGGCAATCCTACATGGTCATCTTGGTAATGGAAGCCCTAATCTTTAGCTCCCTCCACAGATTCTCCGTCAGGTTTAAGTCAGGAATCTGGCTGGGCCTCTCCAAAATGTTAATATTGTTTTTATTCTGGAGAAACATATTGATATCTCACCATTAATATAGATAATAACAACAATAACCTTTTCCCCTGTGTAGCATCAACTGGTTTTAGCAGCAGGAGGACATGGATGGATTGAGCTTCATAAAATGGTTTAGTTTACTTGCATTATGAACCAGTTTAAATAAATTATATTTTTGTGTCATGAAAGTATAATTAATACTGTTACAGAAGAGAGAGATGGTGGGCATAAAGGAATGAAAGGATCCTTTGTTTTCACCTAAATTCCCTCCTTTCCTTTCACTGGGGGTCCATTATACTGTCACTTCAACTAATTTGCAGCTCAAAGAGTCACATCAATACTCAACTGTGTTAGGGAGATGGCAACGGCAGGCTCCTTGAGTTGTGCTGTCTCCCATATTGATTCTCTTTTTCATCATGCAAGGTAGGTGTTAGCATCAATTACCCTTTGTTTCAGACTAAATCATTTCTTGACAGTCTTACAGGGGAAATTTAATAAAATTAAATCAAATGAAATAAAATCACATGCAAATGACCTTAAACGGAACCAAGAAATAAATACTAAATAAGGAATTACTTGTTTTTTATATGCTAATTAGTCATGAAGGCATGAGATCGCTTGGGATAGTAGAAATGTTTTTAAGGCCCATAGTGAAGGCAAACGTTTATCAAAAATGTTTTGAAATCTTATTATTGTTTTTAAAATGACCGCAAAGGAATATTTTTGTATTTCGGGGTGACTGTGGGCTCAGTGGGTAGAGTGTTCATCTTGCAATCAGAAGGTTGTGGGTTTGATTTCAGCTTCCCCCTGCCACATGTCGATGTGCCCCTGGGCAAGTCACTTAACCCCAAGTTGCCTCCTGATTTGTGTATCTGTGTACGAGTGTGTGTAGTGAGTGTGATTGGGTGAATACGGCTATAGTGTAAATCACTTTGAGCGGTTAGTATGACTGGAAAAGCGTTATTATAAATTGAGTCCATTTACCATTTATTTAGTTCTGGGAATAATCATAAACAAAATGTATCCAGAACCTAACACAATAGAAATAGCTTTGATCAAATTCTTATGGGTAACATACATTGACCAGTTATTTAAGAGTATGTTTTAGCCTTTTTAATTAGTAACAAATGATTTTTGAACGTCAATATATTATTAGGCTCAGCTGGAATAATACAATCCTAAACTGGAATCTTTTTAGATTTTAGTTTGTTGTTTATTATGTTTTTTCTATGAGTGAGACCTTATTTGCATTGTGGTTCAAACATTTCAGTTCAGTTGAATAAATGCAGCTTTTCAAAGTAAACCAAAAATGTCAATCTTTATTAATCTTTTTTTTTTCACTGCCCTTTTTCCAAACTGCTATGATTTGAAGAAATTGAATATTTGTCTTGTTGTATTTACCTTCGAATATTTGCCAATCAGAATCGAACAACCACATTTTGAATAAAACTAAATGTTTAAATAGATTTTGTTGTTTTATGCACTTTGCATGTTTGAGCTACTTGCAGCATTAGCTGCAATGCTGCCATGCGAATGCATATAGAGATTACCTTCATGCATTTGATCTTCAAGTTCAAACTGCCCTCTGTAGACTAATTATTTAAAGATCTAGACATGTTCTATATGCTTTGGTCTGGGTTCTTTGAAGACCAGAGATCTTAAGAAATATTTTTAAGTGTAAGCCACTATGTCTAATGCATGGGCATAACACTGGATGCACACATATAGTCTGCTCATAACACTGCATTGCTATAGGTAAAGAACTGAAATCCTAGTTTTTTGTAGTTTTTCTTTCCAAATATCCTTAACTGCTTCATTAAACACTTAACAGGTTAAGAGCTTTTTTAACTTTCAATATGTCATATTACTTGGTGAATGCAACTGGAAGTGCTTTTGTTTTGAAATACCAGATGTTTCTTTGTTTTGATGTTAGTATAGTATTATTTTAAATTATTTATTTTGTTGTGAATCTTTAATAGCATGCCTCACAATTTGCAAATGTCATGGATATATATGGAATAGAATATCCTTTTGTCATAGTGTTAATGGCCGACTTGACCCACATGCAGAAAAATACGAAGAATCAGAGAAACGTTTAGTAAAACCTTTATTTGGAAATCTGGTGCAGGAAACCGCAGTAGCAGGAAGACTGAAAAAGA